AACCCCCGAAAACGAGGTGAAAGAAGCGGGCCCCCCCCGCCACAACCTGCTTTCTCATTCAAATCCTCACGCTCACCCTCGGCCCTCCCTCCCCGCCCGCAGCTCCGTAGGAAACCAGGAACTGGAGCCGCGGACGCTGGACGGGAGTGCCCGCTGCCTCCGCGGACCTCAGCCCGACCCGGGACCGCGCCCTCCTCGGTCTGCGGGCTTCCCGGGGGGGCAAGGGCCAGAAGCACCGGGATGAAGTCCTTTCTACAAGTTTCACAGGTTCCCAAGCCCGGGGACATCCCCTCGCTAGGCAGTTTGGGGTGTAGCGGGAGCGGCCGTGGTGGTGGGGAAGCTGGAAGTGAGGGGCGCCCGGAGTGGGACCCGTGTACAGCTTGAACCAAAGTGAAAAGTGTTCAAAGCACTACTAAAGAAAATTCGGAACCGCCCACCTTCGCTCCCGTTTTTTTACCAGCCTAAGAACATTGTTCCTGCTGTCAAACAAAAGTCGCTGTTGAGTAAAGTGCAGCTAAAGTCGAGGGAGAGCGCGTAGGTAATAACACCTCCCCAGTCGCTTCCGAATCTACTCCTGGGCAGTGGCATCGCATCAGTTTAGGAACCGCCGGAATCAGCCCCGGACCTGCCGTGAGGACAGCACCGCCCGGGCGGGGGAAAGCTTGCCCAGAGCCCGCACTCAACATCCACGAAACGGTGAACCCACTGAACGCACTGACGTGGGAAGTGATCCGTGTGGGCAGAGGCTGGAACGCTGACAGCCGCCGGCCTAGGCAGGCGCGGTGGAATCCGGTTTCGGGGATTCCAGGATTTGCATTTATCAGCCTTCATTCAACCTGCTCTATTGTTAGTTCAAAGCCTGGCTGGGAGGAACCCGGGAGGCTGCTCCTCACTCACCTTACAGTTGAAAATTCTCCTCCAATAAGAAGGTCCTAGAAAAGCTGGCAGCATGGGGTTGGCAGGGATTTTCTGGGCTTAGTGACAACATAAACCAAAGTCATTTTCTTTTGTCATGCGTGAATTTACTCTGAAGTTACAAATGAGTGCCTGAGATTGGTGAGTCAGCCGGGCTGCCCCTCTGCTTTGATGGACAGTTAGTGTGGGGGGTGGTAGCATCGTGACCTCCCAGAGCAAGATCTAGGGTTTCACCTTTTCATCCCACTTAGCGATACCATAGAAACAACCCATTTGTATTATTCAGTTCAACAGAGGCAATTACAATGTCCCAGCAAAGCACCATGGGCAAGAAGAAACTTTATCCCAAAAGCAATCCTGGACTCTCAGAAGGAAAATAAAATACCGGAATAGTCCCTTGGATTTCTTCCTGCTAGGGTACCAGGAAGAAATCAATTTGTAAAAAAATACATATAAGGTGTTTGGGCTCCATAGAAAGAAACTTACCCAAGTTTTCATTCCTTTCTTTATTTTTGTTCTTGATTTTTTTTTACATACCTACACACAAATCCCCATTGTATAGAAAATGAAATAGATAACCCTTTGTCTCTAAATTGTTTTTTGTTTTGTAGACGTGCTTTTTGGAGATTTGTTTTGCTGGTAATTGCCATAGCAAATAGGAAAGCCCAAAACAAAACAAACAAAATCATACGGAGATAACCCCTCGTCAACCAAGGTTATCCATCTCCCAACCTCCTGTGCTTGTCTTTCTCAAATCTGAAAAAAAAAAAAAAAATGCACATGTTAAAATAAACTCAAACATAAAGGTCATTAAAAAAAAAGCTCTGTTTTGCTATACATTCTTTATGTTGGTAGTTTTAAACAAATACCATTCTTCTGTGAACTTTTACATTTTTTAAATCATGCGATGTACCCAAAACAGGACAGATACTATATAAAAGACCAGCTCCCCACAGCCTCTGATTTTTAAAGAAGGCATTACAGATACAGCCACAACCCCATCTCCTGCTTTTCCTCACCCCCAGCCCTTCCCAAAGGTAACAGTTCTGTAGCTTGTGTGACTCATACCGATGCATGTTCTTAAATGCTTAGGACATAAGGGGCATTTCAAAAAGTTCCCAACAATGAAAATCAAGTACAATTTTATATTAGTGCAAAAAATGTGAAATCCAGGCAGTTACTTTTTTTTTAAAGGTAGTTCTTTCTTTTTCTTTTAAGAATTATTTTATTTAACTTTATTCATATATTTTTTAATTTGACTAGAGAGAGGAAGGGAAAGTGAGAAAGCAAGCCACCAGGTCTGGGACTCAAACCAGCATCTTAATCATCATGCCAGCTGCTAGCCCCCCCCACCCAGACAGTTATTTCTTAATACACATTTTCCATAAATTTTTGAAAATCGCTCATAGTATATGTTATCTTTTTTATAGAATTATTTTTACTTTATTTTATTTATTTATTTATTTTAGTTTGATCAGAGAGGGACAGTGAAAGAGAGAAAGAGAGAGAGGGAAAGTGAGAAAGCAAGCTGCCAGGTCTAAGACTTGAACCACGATTGACCATGTGGGAATCCAGCACCCTTAACCACCATGCCACCTGCCAGCCCTCTATATTATCTTTTAATGTAGCTTTTCCCTTTAAGTCTTTAAAAAATACATATCATTATTTTTTTAATTTTGTTTAGTATCATTTTTTTTTTTTATTTGACCACAGAGAGACAGATAGAAAGAGAGGGAAAGTGAGAAAGCAAACTGTCAGGTCCACGACTCAAACCACAGTTGGCCGTGTGGGAGTCCAGTGCCCTTAACCAGCACACCACCTGCTGCCCCCTCCCACCCAAGTCTTAAAAAAAAAAAAAAAAAAAAAAGACACTATTAATCAAAGAAAGATCACTGACTTTAAAAAAATTTCTTTTAATTTAAAAAACTAGAAAACATTATTGTTACATTGCTAAATTTTTGGAAGCAGGATAGAGCTATTTTCCTTGCTTGTGACAATGAGAGGGACTAATGACAAAGGGATTAGACAGTGGGTAGTAAACAGCCTCTCTAGGTTACACAAACCCTTCCATGGTTACCACAGAGTCAGTAGAAAAACAAAAGGAATAATACTCCTTTCCTTCACTGGTTAAAGAGAATTCGAGAAAAGAAGATCTAGGTTACAATTTCTTCGGGCAGGTAAAACAAATGCCCATATGGTAGTAAAATACTCTTCTCGGATGGTCTCTTGATCACACAAATTTAATCTTTCAGTAAGGATTTACCACTTTCCTAAGAGGAAAGGGCTTTTGCTGGTAGCTCAAATCAAGGTTGAAATCTGCCCTGCTGGAAAGTCTGGGGTGGAATCCTCCCTTTCCCCAGGCGGAGGACCTCCATCTGTACAGTAGTCGCAGAAAGCCATTTACAGCAGTCCTTTGACTTAACGTCCTACCAGCAGTAAAAGGGCAAAGAAAACACTGATTTTTCTTAAAATGCCATTGACTGGTGAAAGACATGCTTCCCAGCCCCCACGCTGCTCACTCCCTCCGCAGTGACTCCATTAATTATACTGGCACCTCACTGCCCGGCCTCCCTTCTAAATAGCTGCCAGATTTCTCCACATCACCTCTGCCTTGATGGCGAATGTGCACTGACAGCAGGATCACAGAAAATCCTGTAAGAGGTGCCTGATACGCCGTGGGATGATTGATGTGCCTTGTGGGGAGCCCGCTGTGCTGCCTGTTGGAGGGGGTTGTTTAGAAAACTGCACTAGGAATCCGTGTATTAGAAGGAATTTTTCCTAGCTGTGCAAAAATGGTGCTTCCCCTTGCAAAAAAACAGCCATATCTAAGATACTTAGATTTAACCAGCAATGATCTAGAGTTATGTTCATTAGCAAAAGAGTGAAAGACATGTATATTATCCCTATACTAATTAAAGGATAAAGTAGCCAAGTGAACCATGAGCAAAGAACACATCAAGGAGGATTCATTCCTCTTTCAACATACATTTCTTAATCATTTTTTACAATAATTATTTATTTAACTTTATTAAGTACTTTTTTTGAGGTTTTTGCTATAGGGAGCATGTGCTCGCCAGAAAGACAGAGAGAGAGACAGAGAGACAGAAAGCAAGAAATCACCCTCCAGGGTGGATGGCCATGCCGCCATCTCTTCTTCTCCATTCTCTTCTCTGGATCTTGGGCATGCATGCACATGCACCCGGCATGAGTTTAAGCCACCGGGTCTGGGATTTGAACCATGGTGGGCTACATGGAAGTTCAGTGACATAGCCATTATGATAACTGCTGGTCCCTTTATTAATTATTATTTTCGTTATTTTTCCAGAGAGAAGGAAAGCAAGAAAGCAAGCCACCAGGTCCAGAACTTGAACCATAGTCAGCCATGTGGGAGTCCACACCTTAACCACCACACCGCTTGCCAGCCCCTCAACATACATTTCTTTTTTTCTATAAATAATCATTTTTTATTTAACTTTTTTTTATATTTATTTATTTGAATTTGACCAGAGAGGGACATAGTGAGAGAGAGAGAGAAAGGGAAAGTGAGAAAGCAAGCCACCAGGTCCAAGACTCGAACCATGGTCAGCCATGTGGAACTCCAGTGCCCTTAACCACCATACCACCTGCCGGCCCCTCAACATACATTTCTTAAGTATTTGCTATGTACTGGGCACTGCTCTAGGGGGTCGGGCTCTACTAAAATATAGGTAACACTCCTGAAGAGGAGAGCAGCACCAGTCCGTAGGGGGCTATAATCTGTATTGGTCAAGATGTTTAGGAACAAATAACAAAATTCCAAGTCAAACTGACTTGAGGCAAAAGCCATTGACTCCCACCTTAAAATGGGAGAAGGATAAAGACCAGACATGACTGGGTCCAGCAATTCAGAGTCATCATTTTCTCTCATGTTAAAGAACAAATTATTCAATGATATTTGTTAAAGCATGGTAAGAAAGACTTTTTCCAGGGCCATGGAGATAGGTAAGAAGCCACTGTAACAGGATCTCACAGTGGGGAGAGAGATTGGACTCAACCCCAACCACATACAGCATGGCAAGTGAGATTTATGGCCATGGGGCAGGGTAGGGATCAGTGGATGGAAAATTGCTAAGAGGAAACATCCGGGGTGAGGAGGACTGGCTAAACTGACCTAACTGGATTCTTGCTCAAGAAAGGCCAAGGTGATCAGACCTCACCTGAGGGAAAATAGAAGATGAGAGTCCTGATCAGATATTGGCAGGGCGGAGGTTCTTGCTAAACTAACTTAACAGGACTCTGCCAAAGTTAGGTTGTACAAGGAAGCACATAGATATGTCTAGGGAAAATTCGGAAACCTGTCTTAAGTTTGGCCAAAGATCTTTGTCTCGCTCACGTTCACTCTTGCTTTTGCACCTACTCCTTCGCTCTCTGCTTTTCTCAGTGTTTTTGTTTTGTTCTGTTCTGTTTTGTTTTATGACAGAGTCTTGCCATGTCTTGATCCTTCTGCCTCAGCTTTTTGAGTTGCTGAGGTTCCTACAGACATAAGCCACTATCCCTTGCCTTTAGGTTGAGTCTCTCATGTGGTCCCAGCCTGTGGAGCATAGAGTCTTAGAAAGTCAGGCCACCCTGGCTGGGCTCTCTGTTTTTATTTGTTTGTTTTAAGTGCACTGATTTATTTCTTCCATAAGCAAGAGATATAGACAGACAGCACTCCTAACAGAGGCCTGATGCTGTGGCCCACCACCAGCCTCAGCCAACTCTGGATCATAGACATATGTGTGCCTGGCTTACTCAGGGAGGTCTCGGGACGTGAACTTGGAGCATTCCCGTGTGGATCAGCTTCTCAGAGAATCTCACCGTATGGCTAAGCCCTCCGCCCAGTGCTTTGATCCTAACTTCTCCTATATCACGTGAGCTTCCTACATAGGCTGGTGAGGGAGGGGAGACTGAACAGGGACAGCTCCAGGCTTCAATGATCTCAACAAAGCGATCC